ATTCCACCTGCTCTGCTTCCATCCCCCACCCCTCCCCTTTTTCCCCTCAGACGGACCGTCGTTTCGTCAAGTTCTACCTGCCCAAGATCATCATCGTTGGCCTGATCTGGCTGTGTGCAGTCACCCTGGCCTCGTGGCAGGAGTATAATGAGCTGCAGGACCCCACGTTTTACTACAGGCTAGACACCACCAACTTTGAGGTCAGTTGGGTGGGCTTCGGGCCATGGCAAGGGTCAGGGATGAGACTTGTTCTGTTTTTTTCTTTAAAATTTTTTTTCTCCCTTGTCCTGTTTTTATGGATGCAAGATGTTAGTTACGTATATGACACTCGATTGTTAGACATTGTTATGGTTGAAGGAAGAAAAACCCTTGTAAGTTGTTGCTGCTGTAAATGCTTCTTTTAGTTTTAGTAAGAGTTTTACTACAATTGCAACCAATAAGTGCCGAAGATTAGAGGTGTTACAAGAGAGTAACAAACATAAAAAAGAAGGAAGAGAGATCAGGACAATAGATGTCTTATAGGAAAGAAGGAGCAAACCACACCAGAGCACCCGCCAACCACCCATGTCAATGTTTCTCCTTGAGAAAGGTGGCTGAATCCAGAAATGTCATGGCGATGATGATGATGATGATGGTATATTAAATTAGAATAAAAAATGCTTGTGAGAATCTATGAAAGTAATGATGATTGTGTTTCTTAGCTGTTTAATTTCGATTTTAGGGCCCACACTAGGCTCCTGACTCTTTTTGGAGCCTTTCTACTGCTACTCCTTGGTTTCTTCTTACTGCTGTCTTTCAGCCACACCCCTGATCTTATGGTAGGAAAGATCTAACACCTAGCCTTCTCGAATAAAGATGAAAAATCTCAGAGGTCTCGTGTGCAAGTTGCATGTTAATGATCCCTTGATGGTCCTAAGACCGATAAGAGTAGGCTTTGGCCGTCACCCTGGTAAAATTCAAAATTCCTTCCAAACTGAAAATGTTTAATGTGTCCCGCATGTTCATATGACCATATGCAGTTGCAAGTGCTGTAAAACACTTACAAAAAAAAAAGAAAGAAAAAGAGAAACAGATCATCACATTAGCGGTCCTTATGTACATCTGAGCAGATCATCACATTAGCGGTCCTTATGTACATCTAATTATCTACGGACAAAGTGAATAGGCCTCTTCCCAAAAAGGACAGGCTAATCTCTCTGGGAAGAGACCCATTCACTTTTTCTGAAAGTGTTTGGCGTGTGCTCTGATGTGGTTTGTTCTTTCTTTCCTGTCAAATATCTGTTGTCCTTATCTCTCCTCTGTCTTTTTTTGTATTTATTACTCTCTTGTGACACCTATAATATACGGTACTTACATGACATACTTGTGTTGCAAATGTTGTAAAACTCGCGGTAAAACAAAAAAAAAAACCCCAACAAACATCACTTTGCCCTATTGTTGGGATGACTCTTGTCAAGTGGTTGATAAGTGCGCTGTTACCACCGAGTTGGCACTCTGTTTCCATAGTTGGTGGTATCATGCCAGACTCTGATACTGATGGACACTTTACTGTGCATGGAAAGTGGTCTCTCATCGTAGCTGTGGCTATGTTTCGTCTATTTCTAAAATTCAGGATGCTTGACTTTGAGTAAAAGCTGACACCTGAAGTTAACTGGTAAATTTGAAAATCAGATGTCTTATTAAGTAGGCTACTAACATTAAAGTATGTGCACTCATACAAAAACAAGATTTCATTTGATTTGTTTTACATTTCAGGGTTTCAAGATCATGTTCTTTGTGGTCGGAGGCTTCTATTTGTTGTACCTTCTGTATTTGTTGGTGCGGGCATATGCAGAGCTTAGGCTTATGCCCTACTTTGGTGAGTTCATCTCTCATTTTTGTTTTTGTTTGGTTGGTTTCAAAAAAATTTTTAAAGTTATAATGCCCCTTTTCAAAGTTTTAAGTTATGTACCGCTCTGACTCTGGTATGAGAGAAGTATGTTGAGACTGGGGTATCGAGCGGGTAGTTTGGGGGGGGGGGGAGGGTGCCACTGGTAGGTTCTCCTTTCTTGTCTCTCCCTGCGTTGTTTCTGTTTGTTGGTCTTGCTTTTTGTCCGCTCTAAATATTACTCAAATCATAGTGATGTGTTTCTCTTTTACTCAAACAAGGATTGTATCATCTTTTCATGAAAAGCGCTAGGGAGACTAAGAGAAAACAAGCTGTAAGATAAATTTTTTAATTGCATCTCATTCTTAATAACGTATATAATGATTTTATGATATTCATGCGACCCCTACTTCAGCAAGGTCCACCATTGCTCCACTGATGCCAGTACACAATTGTAAAGGAGATGCAATGGAAGCATCTCAGATTATGCTATCACTTTTTTGTTACACCTTTTTTTTTAAAATTTGGCTGAATTGAGTGATAAATATGTGAAGTAAAGCAGGGCTTTTGCAACTTTTTAGTGTTTACTTTACATGCACCATCAGCTGTTTTAAGGATCGTTTTGTATTAAGTCTCTTGGGGTAGCACAGCACTTGATTTAGTTAGTGGGTAGTTTGCAGGTGCTCTGGTTTAGTTTGCTCCTTTTTTCTTATCAAACATCTCCTGTCCTTATCTCTCCTCCTTTTTTGCGGTTGTTACTCTCTTGTAACATCTCTAATCTTCGGCGCCTATATGACCTTATTGTATTGCAAGTGCTGTAAAGCTCTTACTAAAATTTAAGATCTAGTTATGCTAAACAACATAGACCATATTGAATGAGTTGATTCCATGTATGTTATAACCTCTTGACAGATCTACGTCTCAAGTTCATGACGGCTCTGATGGTGACCATATTGAATGAGTTGATTCCATGTATGTTATAACCTCTTGACAGATCTACGTCTCAAGTTCATGACGGCTCTGATGGTGATCGTGGTGTCCATCACCATCGCCATCACGGTGATGCGCTTCGGCGGCGGTGTGCTGCAGGACAACTTTGTGGCCGAGCTGTCCACCAACTACGAGAACTCGGCCGAGTTTGTCTCCTTCTACGGCCTGCTCAACTTCTACCTGTACACCATGGCCTTTGTCTACTCACCCTCTCCTAACGCTATGTTTGGTGAGTTCATTGTTTGATGAGGGACGTTTTAAGAATGTTTTTGTACTTGCAGTCGAACTTGCTCTAATGACCACCTGTCAGAGAGGAGAGGACGGTTCTTTTTTTTTGTTGCTGTGTCTTAAGTCGTTTCCCGCTTTTTGTCTGATTTGTTTGTCTGCTGTTTACTCAATAAAAGTTACAAGCAAACGAAGACTACAGGACAAAAAGGGTAGCAATCATACAAATAGAATTGTAAATAACTGTCTTTCTCTCAGGCCGTCATGTGAACTACTGCCATTCTTTCTTTGTTCTATTGTTTTAAATGAATCATCAATGTTTGGTGACAATGAAGACAAGATTGCAGGACGAAATAGAGTGTGGGTGGTTGGCGGGTGCTCTGGTGTGGTCTGCTTCTTCTTTCCTATCAAACATCTATCGTCCTTATCTCCCCTCCTTCTTTTTAATGTTTGTTGCTCTCTTGTAACACCTCTAATCTTCTGGCGCTCATATGACTTTATGCAGTTGCAAGCGCCGTAAAACCTCTACTAAAACAAAAACAAAATAGAGCAAGACAAACGGTAGATCAAGGCAGATGACAATGAAAATAGAAAATTGTGACAGCTGCTTTTTTATCCCTTGTAGTGTTCAAAAGTGTTGTGCACATCTCACCTGCAGATGAAGAGCAGAGCTTTATTTTTTTCCTTTGTTTGATGTTCATTCACATAAGGGAAGTAATGTCATCAAGGACAGCAGCAATTGTTGATCGTAAATGTGTTACACACCAATAAATGCCGTTTGTATCATTAAAGAAGTGGGCGTCTGTTGAAGTCTGGCCTTATGTGCCTTTTGTTGATAGGATCTTAAGCCCCTAAGAAAAAGTATGACAATTTTGCTTTATTCTTAGAAAGAATTAGGGTGAAAGTTTCATTTTTCCATTTTTCGCATTCAATGTGGAATGTTTTCCAGGTTACACCCCCACCAAATCACATTATTCTTTCTGCATGCTGTGTCTGTGTCTTTACGAACGTTCCTTCGCTATACAAAGAAATGATCTTTAACATGCCTCCTCTGTCTTTCACTTTCTTTTGTCTTATGAAAAGTTTCCTGATGAACTGTAGAATGTTCTGAAGTGCCTACATAGATGGATCAGAATGTTTTTTGGGACAAGTATTTGGTTCTTAGCTGCATGAAGTGTTGTGAAAATCCGTACATTCTTTTTTGGTACCACAGAGACTCGTATCCTTACACTCTTTTTTTCTTACTACAGAGACTCATTTCAAAGACAATCCAGCTCTCTCCATGCTGAATGATTCTGATGAGGAGGTTCACTACTCGTGAGTTTCTATTTGTTGATTGTAAATGTTTTACGTTGCTGTTAACATGATTTAGGTCATTAAGGAGGCGGGTGGCTATTGAAGTGTTAACTTTTTAGGTGCCCTTTATGAGAGGATCTAAAGCTGGATAACAGGCAATGTTAAAGAAGTGGTGTGGGGGGGGGGGGATTAGGAACGATGACTTGAACTGACAGCTTGGGAACAATGTGCAATCTGCTCATGATTTTTTGTTCCAAGAACAAGTCGTATTAGATGATTAAGGGAGTGCATCGCAAGTTCTTTTGTCCGATATCCTTGAAGTGCACGCGTTTTTGCATGCATGATGAAGGGCAATTTGATAAGGCACGGCGAACTTTTAAAACTTTTTCGAGGGGAAAAAATACAATTTATGATTTTAAAAAAGTGTAACACACTGCCACTGCCACTTAAAACATCGCTTGCAAAAGTATGGATATAGTTGGTGAGTGTGTAATCTCAGTGCAAGGCAAGAGACAAAGAACCCTATCTCGAATCCGTAAAAAGGCCACACACACACACACACACACACACACACACACACACACACACACACACACACGTGCACGTACACACCAGTCTGTGTGCTCCCCAGCATGAGCAGAAACGCGCGTCTGTTTCACCATCCCGAAGTGAACAGTGAACAGAAAAGTCAGCGGGACGCCTTGCTCTCTTGCGTCTGATCTTACGGCAGTCTGCGTCACCGTCTCTTGGTCGGACAATTCTTCCGGCCACGTCAGTGAAAGCGACCTTTGTGATCATCATCCGTTTTCAAAGATTCGGACCTCAACG